AGAGAGAGAGAGAGAGAGAGAGAGAGAGAGAGAGAGAGAGAGGTGAAGAGCTTTTTAGGGAAACAGTGACAGAGAAATAATGAGAACGAGAATGACAGAGACAGAGAGGTAGAGAGAGGATTGACCCAAATAATCACTGGCTGCTGGGTGGAGGACTAATGCCGCTAGGTACTAGAGACATCCATGGCTGGTATTGAATTGTTTTGCAAAGCAACATCAGAAAAATAGTATTGGCCTTGTACAAGAACCATAGGACCAGAGCAGAGTAGAAAGCTTTGGCATAGACTTATGCACAGAGAGAATGGGATTTGTGATGGATGAAACATTTCAACATGAGGAATAGTGCAGGCTAGATTAACAAATGCTTCTGAGACAATTAGGAGAAAATCAAGTGGCTGGGTACAATGATCAGTTCACTCTCCCACAGGTACCTCTGCCCACTTGAAATGTCACTATCATCATGTGCTTTGGAATAATTTCCAGACCCAGTAAAGACATAGATTTTAATATCTATCATTGTGTGTTCAGCCCTGTGCTAAGCACCAGCCCTGTGCTAAGCACCAGCCCTGTGCTAAGCACCAGCCCTGTGCTAAGCGCCAATTGTCAGGAAGATCCTCGGCGGTAGGTACTATTATAACTATCACAGTACATACTAGGAAATGGAGGGACAGAGAGATGACTTGCTGGTTAAAATTCCCACAGATGACTTGAGGTGAAGCTAGGTTGTTCCAGACAGTCTGGCTCCAGTACCCACACTTTTGACCTCTATAGTAAATGGAAAAAATGAAGCCATAAAGGAGACTGGAAGGCAATATGGGCTGAACTGTTATCTCATTTTCAAGTGACAAAATACTTTTGAAGCACAAAACCATAGACAGAAGCCACATGAGAAAAGGGTAATCTGACTACATAAAACACACGTGCATTACAAAGCATAATAAATAGAAAAAAAGCAAATGATAGTCGGGGATGGTGACGTGTGCCTTTAATCCCAGCACTCGTGAGGCAGAGGCAGGGGGATGGATTTCTGTGAGTGTGAGGTCAGCCTTCTCTACGCAGTCAGTTCTAGGCCAGCCAGGGCTACACAGTGAGACCCTGTCTCAAAATAAAAACAACAAAAAAGCACACAAATGGAGCTGGAGAGGTGGTTCAGTGGTTAAGAGCGCTTGTTGGTCTTCCAAAGGAGGTGCCTTCAATTCCCAGCATCCACGTGGCAACTCACAACCATCTGTAACTGGAGTCCCATGGAATCCCACAGCCTCTCATGGCCTCTATGGGCACCACACACACATATGGTGAGCATGTGACAAAACATGCATACCCGTAAAATAAGTAAATGAGATTAAAATACACATATCTACAAATGATGAATTTGGGGAAAATGTTTCCTATATACATATAGGCAATAGGAAGATATTATCCCTTCCAAATTAAGATCTGTAGAAAAAAATCTTGAGAACTCTATTAGGAGCAAGAACATGATCACACAACTCTTTTCTGCAAAGCACAAGTGGCCAATAGTCATTAAAAGTCACCAAAGAATGCAAAATCTAACAATGTTAAAATTTCCTCTTATGATGGGAAAGGATTAAAAATGGTAACACCCACCTAAGATTGGTGTGAATTAGAAACAACATAAAACAAGACAACATTCTGGAAAAGCAATTTGAAAAGATAACAACAACAACAAACCGTTAAAAATGCACACCCCTTTTTCTCCAGGATTCAAGGAGTCAATCGTAATTAGAAGAAACCTGACTATCCAATATCAGCACTTAATTCAGGCAATTCAGAGTGTGCAGACATAAAAGATCACGTGCTCATTTTTTTTAGTATGCTACGAAAATGGCATTGATTGAATAAAGCAGGAACAAACCCAAAATACAACATGATTCTAATTTGTTTAAAAAATACTAACAGCTAACAGTGAGAACTTACCATATACCAGGCACAGTGCCACAGGACTAGGCCCGCAGAGACTAGCTCACCCTAGTCCTGAACTGCCTGTTCTCCATAGACATGGATTCTGGTCACAGTCACACAGTCCGTTGCTAAATCATGGTTGACCATGTTATGAAGTGCCTTTCGAGAGGGTGTCTTATGTGACACAAGCAGAAGTTCAATGAAATGCTAAGACTGGCCTGCTTGCTCACAATCTACCTAGGACAAACAGAACTGATGACCATTTTGGAAAATGGAGCTCTCTGAGCCATTATTAGTAATTGCCAGTGGTGTACAAATCTCTCTGCTGGATACTGGGTGGAAAAGCAGGTGAAGCAAGGTGAGCCAAGAGAATCAGAGAGGTGGAAGAAAGAAATGGAACACCGGTGGTCAGGATGGAAGAGACCAAGAGGAATATAGTCAGAGCCTTGGAAAGACATGGACAGAGAGTGGGCATTCAAGGGAGAAAGCCAGAGACAGACAAGGAAACAGAATGAGACAGGAAAAGAAGTGGGGAACATCACCAGGAAAGAAAGGAGATGCAGTTCAACTTTCCAGTTCCAGCTGGACAACATTTTGGGTTGCCCCATTCATAGAAACCAGCAGTTGATTGACATGTTTTAAAACGTCTGTCCATCTGTGCATCAATCAGTTTTCTTCTTTTTGCCCCTGTTTAAGGAATGACTGCCCCACCTATCTGGCATTTAGGATAAGTAGTATTAGTTTCAAAAAGTCCTTACCTGGAGTTCACAGTGGCTGGGTGTTTCCAGCTGAACTGGAGGGCTCCTGACCCTCCCTCCCACTGCAATCTCCCTGCTACTTTCTCCAGCAGAGATGTGTCTGGCGGGGGAGAGCAGGGACACTCACCTTGGTGAAGTGGACTGACAGAGAAGGATCAGCTTGGCTTGTGGGAAACTGCCACATTATCAAAAACAACTTTGCTTTTATACCGAGAAGAAAAACCACGGTGTGGAAGCCGCAGACCTCTCTCTTCTAATAATCCAGTTTTTTTTTTTTTTTGATGAGTGTGTGTGCTGATAATCACATGGTGGGGGGTTCTCATAGTTCTCTCTCTCTCTCTCTCTCTCTCTCTCTCTCTCTCTCTCTCTCGCTTTGTTTATTCTTTTCTTATGAGACTTAAACGGAAATTTTGAAATTTTGGGTTTTTTCTTTGCCCTTTACAAGTCATCTGAAAATATGATTTCTTCCCCTCACCACAGAGGTAAAAGGTATCAATGAGATAACAGGGCTCATGAGAAACCACAATTTCTTAAACAAAAGTGTGTAGAGTCAGAAAAAAAGGGAAAATAACTCAAATCACAAAGGCATCCCGAGGTAGGTACA